TGTCATAGAAATAAACTGAATAGAAATTTAGGAGCAATGGACGTGGGAAAGGTGTCATCACAGAAAATTATATTCAGCCGCGTAAACTTTATTTTAAAAAAAAGTCATGAGTTTTATTTTGAAACGTCCAGAGGAACCTGGCCTGCTTCCTGTAATTAACCTGGGGACTTTGACTGGCCCCGCCCACCTGTCTCATGACAGCGGCTTGACTCAGAGGGTGTGCTCGTTTTATCAAGGATCCTCACCACAAAGAAACCGGATCCAAACCTCTAGATCTCCTAAAGCATTTAGGGCATTTTTTCCCAAAGAAAGAGTTTAATCATGAATATAATTAAAAAATCAGAAAACAAACCATAATCTCAAAATAAAGTGAGAACCAGGAATCCATCTGGAAATTAAAGTGTTTTACGAGGAAACGTCCTTTTGGTCAGAAGGTATAATAAAGACATTGGTTGTCTGTCTGCATGCTGATGCTTAAAACTAGAGGAAAAAATTATTAGCATAAAAATATTCTCTTATGAAAAAAAAAAGTTAAACTAAAACATATTAAAAGATATACAGATTCGCTTTTTAATTTTGGACAGTAAAATATCCAAATTGGTTATTTAGTTTTTTTGTTTTTCTTTGCTTTAGCTCATTTCAACAACTATATATCGTTTCAAACATTACAAATAGTGTTATTAAAACTTTCTTTTTTCCCCTTTTCTTTGAAGCGTTTCGCGTTGATACCGTCTCACAGCTTACTGACACCTGCTGGACATTTAAAGACACTACAGGCAGCTGATTTGACAGACCAAACTGAATTGATTTGATGACCGAATACAATGATATCATTGAAGTTATTGTAGGTTATATTGTATTATATCATATCTATTAAATTGAAAATGTCTTTGATATTTTTAGATGCAGTCAATAAATAATGTAAACATAACGGGAGAATTTAGAGGAAAATGCGAATGAGGATGCTGGTGGACTATGATTTTAAATCATAATTTTAAAACAATAAAAATAGTAAACAAACTAAGAGTCAATTTGAAATTAACCGATACAGTGTTTGCTCTGGGCTCCACGCATGCACTGACACTTCGGTGCTGCTGGACTCATCATAAGACGTCGATCAAAACATGTCAGCCATGAAACACTTTGGGTCAGGACGATGTTTCTTCATCCACACTTTAAATACACACTGTAAAAGATTTAAATCTTCTCATAAGTGGCCTGTAGGGGGTTAAGTTTGGGCTTTTAATGATGCATTTAGAGTCTTTGAATATGTAACTTACAACTTTAAATAACTTTAAAACAAGAACCGAGTCTGTTTAATGTATCTATATAGATATAATGAGTTCCTTTAACCCATAAGGGTGAAAATTATACATGAAAGCAAAAATACATACTCCTCCATTATAATTAGATAGGAATCTCCAAGTCTCCAAAAATCTTCTGGTCTAATATTTGATCAGTTTGTTTTAATGAAACAGTTGATTTGAGCTGGTTGGTTTCCTGGTACAGAGCTGCTGTTCTGTTTCCGTAGGTCGAGATCAAGCACTTCTACATCTTTTTTTTTTTTATTCACGTCAAAACCAGAGATAAGAAACGTTATGCAAGTGGCAGAGGTCGAATCTAGACTCGGATGAGGAAGCCCAGATTGAGGCTGGTGGGGATCTGAATGCTCTCCAGAGGCACAGGGGAAGGGCTGAATGGGAACGTCACAGAGAAGATTTTCTTGGCATCCATCATTAGGCTGGAAGATTCATCTCTGACTTTCAAAATGTCCTAAAGAGCAAAGGAAAAAATAGTTAAATACGTATCAAATGCAAGCTGAACAATAAAATATTGCTGATTAAGGCCTCACTTTAATAGTGGTGATGAAGGAGTTGGACACTCTTTCCTCAAACTCAATCACCGGGGTGTACAAGGTAAGGATTTTAACAATCTGCCCAAAAAAAAAAAAAAAAAAATCAAAAAATCAGAAACTGTGTGAAATATCAGAGATTTTAGATTTTCTAAGGCTGGACCTGTGCTGAGGTGAGGGAGGAGCACATGCTGCAGATTGCCTGGGCATCAGCTTCAGTGCTCTTCTTGATTTGTAAAAGCTGTGCAGCTTGAACAAGAGGCTCCAGAGTTTCCTTTGCACCGCAGTCAGTCAGCTCCCTCTCTGCCAGCCACTCCTCCAGCTGCCAAATGTTGTACCTGTGGCCAGACAGGTGGAGTTAAAAACAGATAAAAGCACCTTGAAATGGTCTAGGGATGCAGGATATAATCGGCCCCCTATCGGTATCGGCCTTAAAACTGAATATCGGACATCGGCCACCCCATCGATATTTAACCCGATATTTGATCAGCCTCTGAGTTTTTAAGGTCTAAAAAAAATAAATAAATTACTTCTTCTTCTTCTTCCTCAAAAACTTATTTTT